ACCAAAGTTATATCGAAAAACTTAAGTGGATCTCCAGTTTTTTTTTCTAAAAAAATGTATCTTCAATTGTATAAAAAACGTTTAGATAAAAGAGCCGGATTACAGAAAAGTGTTCCAGGGAGCGCCTTTTTTCGTTCAAGCTGAATGCGAAGCACTATCGTCCAATTGGAGAGTCTTCAAAAGGATTTCCCAGGATATGTTAAACACTTTTTTCACATAATGCAATTAACTAAAATACTTATGCACTATATCTAAACAATTATTTCACGTCTCCTACTTTCATATAACGGCAAATTTAGAAACCGCGAAAAATGTGCGTCTTCGTTGACTAATAAAACTATTCCGCACCAATTTTCAAGACTGCATAAATGGACTTAAAATGGGCGTTTCCCACCCTAACTGTATTATGTTAATGTATGCAACTACTATTAACTTATCAAACGATTCCTATTCTTTGACGATACATATTTCATTTCATTCATCAGGATCTTGAAAACTGACCAAATCGGCGTGACCAAGTCCATGGTCCTTTTAATACTATATAAACATCCGAAAACATTAAAACGTTTGAAATAAATCCCGTCTCACTTTTTTGTATTTTTCACTTGGTTCCTGAAGTAATGAAGAATTCAAAATCTATACGGGAAAATTATAGTTTTTGTAAGTTTTATCTTAATATCTTAAAATTTAAGACTTATTGAAAAATGATAAATGAACGTGAGGTACTAAATTTAATAACCCTTAATTTGATATATCGTGCGGTTTATAAAAATTAACGCATTCCATAGATATTACCAGCCAAAGTTTCATTTTCAAAATTCGTATACTTTGATGCAATTGCGCGGGCTAAAGATGAGTTTTAAATTAATCTTTCGTGGCCAATAACAATTGGCTAAGACCTAAGACATCATAATATTACTATTACAATGCGGTCAAACGACTTTTATTTTCCCTCATACAAAATCGACCCAGCCTAATGTACATACATATGACTGTATGTATATATATAAGTTAGTACAAAAATGATTAATTTTGCTTAAGAATCTTGCATGCAAGAAATCCAGCAAAACAATAGACCTTAAAGTAAAGAGCTAAATAGTTAAAGCTTACGCAAGGCGAACGATACAGTAGCAAAAATGGTTGAAGCTATTTAAACAAATTTTAAGTTTTTGGCTCATAAAACAAGAAAAGTAGCGATACTTAGTAAAACTAACAACAGATATGAGTCTCAATGAATTTAGTAGGTAACATTATCAACAGTTAGTGGGAGTAGCGGTCAGCAGCAATGATGCTTTACGTTCTAGCGATGAAAGCTCAAACATGCAGTGAAAGCTCTTACAGTTTATTTTAATATGCTCGAAAGCTCTAAAGTTGCTGCAGTATTATAAAGGGAGAGCTTTCATGCATTTTCCACTTATCGCACTAAAATAAATTAGGCGCGAAGATCTTTTAAAGCTTTCTGTAGATTTCGTATGAACGCAGTACGAGTTAAATCTCTTGCTGATTGTCACTGACCTATATCGGTAATAAGCATCGCCTTGCGCGCAGGCTGGACCTTTTTGAGCTTTCTGTGCACTTTCTATACTAACGCATGCAGAGTTGGGGCTCTCTCCACCCTTTGCTGATTCATATAAACTACTTGTACAACGCCTATTACATATTTTGCATTCACAAGCATTCATAAAAGCTTTCATTGTTGTTGTAGCAGAAAAAAATACCCAAAAAAGTTTTAGGAAATGCTGTTAAATTGAAAGTCCTTAGACAGAATCAAATCAGAAAACTTGTTCACGTAAAAGCGTTATGGCCAAATCCGATATTAAAAGCTTATAGAAGTCAAAGCTTTTTTTCTAAGTTACCACAACAACGTAGTTTCATTAGAAAATGAGAAAAGCTCCACCTAAAAATGTACGCTTCTTTGTCTTATATCTAAAAAAGGTTATATTTAATTCAGCAAATACTACGGAGTTAGTGTGAAGGTTCGAATAACTAATCAGTGAAAGCTCACGCAGCGATTTTATAATGGAAATATAACATACTTATGTATGTACATATCGTTACCTAATGGTAAAAAGGTACCAAATCCATTTTTTGAAATTATTCAGGAGAGACGGAGAGAAAATCGATGCAGTTTCGCATTATCATTCTGCATCTAAAACTAAATTTTGAAAAAAATGGACTTAGCACCTTTTCACCCTTAGGTAGCTATATTTAACTCCACTTTTATGTTACAAAAATTAAAAAAAAAATGTTTACAGTTTTTGAACAAAAGCCTTGTTGGTAGCGGTGAAAGCTCGCGTGAAAAGTGAAACTGTGTACAAATAGTATACATCATTGTTAAAGGTTTAAAAAATTTCAGTACTAAAACTTACCTTAAATTACTTGAAATAATGTATCTAAATGCTTTGCTTGGAAAGCTCAGGAGTTGGTGCTCATAAGAAAAAAGTCTAAGTAAAAGCTAACAGTAAAAAAAATAAATTAAATGAACTAGACTCTCGTTAGAAAGAAAGAACCAAACAACAATGTTTTGCAGTGAAAGCTCTCTATGAGCATTTCACAACAACCAAAAGCTTTAAAAGTGCTCGGAGATTTTTTCAATGTTTAGTTCATTCATGGTTAAAACATCTTTAACGATAGATGCTTTTTAAAGTTTCCGAAAGAATTTTTGTTGATCGTCGCTGGTGTTGATAAAGCTCGACTTGGCAATACACTTTGAAAGCCAAATAGGTGCTTTGTACTATTGAATTTTTCTGGTTTGTAGCTAAAAAAGCGTCGATTGAATTCCGAAAACTTGTAATATAGTTAAGACTGTTTTTCGCAAATATTAGTACCTTATCATAATGGTGGAATTCCTCTAAACTGGTGAAAAACTCGTAAATGGGGAAGCTTTTGTTTTTGAACTCGGTGATCCTGAGAGCTATAGAAATGCAGCTGTTTCCGTCGATGTTCTTCTTTACTCCTAGAATTTATATGCACTTACAACACGTCGATTTGTCTGGAGAATCTACGACTACTTAAAATATAACCTGCCCGATAAGCTTTTAAAAGCTTTATTTATATTTTATATGGGCATGCAGAGAGCAAAGGCTCTCTCTCTAGCAGTAGTAGACTCCTCACTTTTTAATACTAAAAGCTCACTAACTGTAGAAAAGCTCTACTCTTCATGACAGCAAAGCTCTTAAATATTTCTTGAACTTCTTCGTAAAAAAGTAGGTTCTTTTTTCCATATACTTCAAGTACAAAATGCTCGCCAACCTTTTTTCCAAAACAATTCTTCAATCAACGCACTAAAATCATAGCAACGTCAATCATAGCATCTAAGCAACCCACACTCCCTTAAGTAGCGCTCCTGATGTATTGTATTTCCTCAGCTGTTTACAGTATTTGTCCCTTCCTTATTTTAGTAATAAAGCTATACAAAAGCTCTCTCGCAAAGCAAAGCGCAGGCAAAAAGTGTATAAACAAGTTCGCGCGAACAATTGAATGTTTGAAGATTTGAAGTTGCTGATTTGTTGTAACTACAAATAAGCACTTCCGTTGAAGAATAACTTTTTTTCATGCGTATTTGCCTCTTTGGGTTATTTGCTTGCTTTGTTATCGTCGTTTCTTTGGCTTCTTTCACTTGCGTACTTTTCTTTCCAAAATTGATAAGCATTGTAATGTTTTCGGGTATGCTGGTTGTATTGTACGTAATATGTAGCAGGGTACGGTGACTTTGAAGTGGGAGATTGCAGCGAACTTTTAATGATTGACAATCAGTTTAAGTAATTACATAAGACAAACTTCATAATATTACGGCGCACATAATTGGTGTTGTAATAATATTTATATAACAGTTGAAAATCTGGTTTTCAAGAGAAGTACGGAAAGAGGTTGGTGTGAAAATGCGCTGCGGAGAGATGTGCCGTATGTGTAGTATTTATGTATGTATGTATGTACTTCAATCCGTTAGAAGCTCAGAGACTAGAGAGTGATTAACTAGTAGAAGGCTGTAGACCAAGCTTCAGGCTCATGAAACCCCACACTTTCTACAAGCAGGAATTGTTTTACGGAGATTCCTGAAGAGTTTTCCATAGCGCATCTTCAAAGCTTTCTCTAAGGGAACCATATTTGCTGTTCAGCAGCTACACTGATGCCAAGATCCGAACAAGAGACGAAGAGATCTAAACGTAAAGTCCACAGTCGGTGGACCAGATGTTGCACATATAGACATGCTATCAATGACAATCGCCACCTTCATGCACCGCCTTCCTGTGAATGACGTTACCTCAGTTCATTCTCCAGCTGTCTCTATTAAAATGTGAATTCCTTGTGCGGTTAAATTACTGAGCTGATTTCTATGACTGGCTTTTCAAAACATCACACTTGAGCTGTAGAAGGACATAGGACTTTTTTTCAATGAATTTTTTATAGTAAATATTTGTTAGCTAAATATAAAATAGTTTACAAAGATGTTCAATAATATTGTTGAGGAAAATAAAATTTAAATACCTTGTTCGTGATATAGTCCCAAACTACTGGGCTGATATTATTGACTGACTTTTCAAAGCATCACATTTGAGCTTTAGAAGGGCATAGGTAGGTTCGCTGCATGTACAATTTATTTATAAAAAAAAATGTATGCTCAAAATGCGAACTTTTCGATCGGGAAAAACTAGAAAACTACTTTGAAGATTTTTTATAATTTTTATTTGAGAATATCGCAGTTAATTGCGTAGGAAATAAGGGCAATTGTTTAGGAGATATATTTTTATTACAAAATATTTGAGTCAAACATAACGATTTTTTAACATTTTATCTTAAAAATTTTATCAAATTTAAATGCGACTTGTTTTTTCGGGATAAACTATCAAATTACTTATCAAATTTCTATGATTCTTTTTTTCAAAACATCACATTTGATATGCATGAATACTGATAGGACTGTCTCATTAATGATTTTTTTTTTGTAAAAATTTTTTTATTTCTGTATAAAGCTTATTTATAATTTTTTCTCTTTACAGCTTAACAACTCAACATTTCAATTGCAAGATTCCTAAAACTGCATTTTTTCTGCGGAATATCAACTAAAAAGCACAAAAACAGCGAAAATTTCACTCGACATAAAAAATTTATTTTGCAAATCACTAGCAAAAATATTGCTATAAGTAATGAAAGTAAGAAAAGAAAATTCATATACCAAACTAATAAATATCGTGATTGTGCAAAAAGGCGACTGAGAGTGACCAACACAAAAATCAAGTTACCGCGTCTTCAAAAAAGGAAAAAAAAACTGCTGTGAGACATATAAAATTAGAAAATAGTATATGCATGCACATAACTAACTACAACTCATTGAATTCGCCGTGAAACTNTATATACCAAACTAATAAATATCGTGATTGTGTAAAAAGGCGACTGAGAGTGACCAGCACAAAAATCAAGCTACAGCGTCTTCAAAAAAGGAAAAAAAAAATGCTGTGAGACATATAAAATTAGAAAATATATGCATGCACATAACTAACTACAACTCATTGAATTCGCCGTGAAACTAGTAACACGCAGAAAAGGAGAAACCTGTCACTCGATGACGATAACGGCAAACGGCGCACGACAGCCTCATTAACATACCGGATTTCTACCGAAAATAGAAGGTCGCACAAGGCAGCGAAAATATAGTTGAAAAAAAAACACGAAACAAAAAAAGTTTGTGAGATTAAATTTCAGAAATACTACACAGAAATTTACAGCCAATAAGTTTCACTTTCTTTTGGCTAAATAACAGTTTGGCTTTAATTGCAAAAGAAACACAAACTCGTTTCCAATACCTTTGAGTCAAAAGGTGATCGCATCAGTCAACAGCAGCACCGGGTATACATACATATAAACAACGTACATAATTAATTTGTGTTTGTTTTACGGTAAGTTCGCTGATTGCTGCTTTGATTTTTGTATGTTTAATAAATATTTTTTTTTCTCTTAACTCACATCAACTTGAATCTTAAGTCATCTTAAATATAATTAATATTGGTGTCTCCCTTACGCTGCAGTGCATTAATTAATCAAAATGCAGTAAGAGTTGAGCCCAAAAGCGCGGAAAATGGTTGAACAAATTACTTAATACTCTTCGGTATATAAATAAATATTTGTTATTAAGAAAATGCGAAACTGGTTCAACAGCCACGAAAAAGCCATTTAATGTCTTTGATGTGCGTGGCATTTTGTTAAAAAAAACTTATCTCGGGATAGGCCTTTTTTCACTTTAAAGCAATATTTCGTTGGATTGTCAAAAAATATTAAATAAAAAATAACTAGCCATGGGTTTAGTTTAAAATTCTCTTTTAATAGAAGTTTCATAAAAATTTACGACTTTTCAAGGGGAAGTTATTATTATTTTTAATTAAAATTCAAACCTTTTTAAGTCACTTAAGTTGTTTTAACAAAATGCACATATTTATTTATGTAAGTTGTATGTAATGTTTTTTTTGTAATTTTATTTCATTTACATTCTTTCACGCTCCCACTTTTCACTCTCTTTTCTACTTTTTCTGCTTCTGCTGCTAGTCCGCAAACTATGCGTCCGTGTTTTGATTTAATTTTTCTCATGCGTCTTCTTGCCAGCGGTCACCCATCTCCGTACATACCTAACTAAGTATGTAGTTACGTACTTTACTTGATGTAGTCAGCTGTTGCTTCAATTGAAACTCTTAAATCGTTCATGCGCCAGTGTAATTTATACGCTTACTACAGGTAGCGCTTGTTTGGTTTGGCATAGCTAATCGAAAACTAGATTATTTTAATTGTAATCTGGTGAAAGTTCTTGCTGCTTGCGCTTCTAACTTAAGCTAATTAACTGCGTATGTAAACACGTCTTGGGTAAGAGTGAAAAGTTGAAAAGTGGAAAGTTTAAAAAATCGAATATTTATTAAACTCGTACTATTTTAAGTTACTTACTCTTATTCCTCCCCACTGCAAGAAATGGCTAAGGCTCAGTTGAAATTGAGGCTTCTACCTCTCTGGGTAAGCTACATACCTTGAATCGAAATGCGTTAAACTACTCTCTGCACCCCAAGATTATATGTAGAGGATTTAGCCTTAAATAGTGGGGCTGCCTCCAATGTGTCCTGGCTGTGTTGTAGGTTTAAAATACCTTCAAATCCGTTACTCCGCATAGATTCAATTAATGAAAAATGTTCGAGAATTTAACCATTACCTACTTTGTCCTGGTGTGGAAGATACCTACCCTTTACCTTCTGCAGTTTTCGAAGAGTCTCTGTATCAATGAAGTTCTATGTTTATGGCCTTCACAAATAAAACGCTCTTACTTGTGTCATATCTAACGAACGGATCTGGAGAAACTGCGATCCCCAGATTTTCTTATTTAAGATGTGTATCTGAAAATTACTCGGCATCAAGCACACACCTGTGCAACTTAGCAATAGAGACAGAGTCTGTATAATCATCAGATGATATATATATGGGTTTGAGTAAACTGATTATTTTCGCAAAGTGTGTGTCACCTTAAGGGACGGTTGTTGCTGTAGCGACTTCTTCAAATTCAACTAATGTGAGACCCGGGAAGTGCAGGGGTGTTAGTTGAGTTGAGGACTAAATTGAGGACCTTGGTGAGGTAATCAAGTCTCGCAGGAAGACTTTCGCTTTCCCGATGTCTACCTGAACCAACCACTGGTGAAAGCAAGAGGGGCTGTTGGCAGTTTGTGTAGCTTTCTGGTCTCCCTCGACGTTTGGCTTTGTCCACCGGAGGATTCAGCGTGATTTGTCAGCCAAATCGCTCCGGGTCCGATGTAGCGAAAGAGATTTCCACTCTGTCGTCGCGCTTCGTCGGGTTATTCAATAAAATTATTCAGACAAATTTTGGCCTTATAATTGTGCCTTGTAATACTTTAAAAAGCCCAATCTATCGTATTTTCTTGCTTATGGCCGGTGTGGTGTAGTGGTTAGCAGTGTGCGCTTCCACTCCGCAGTGCCTGGGTTCAAGCCCTGGTCAAAGCAACATCGTAAAAAAATATTTAAAAAAGGTTCTTTCTTAAAAACATTAAAAATGAAGAGATATGTATAAAATGCGGGCAAGTGATGTTCTTGAATATAAAGGGTGTTCCAACGAAACCCAGAAATGGTTTAAAAATTTGCAAATCTACAAAATGGCCAAACTTAAAATGCCCAAACTTAAGGTCCACTAAAATTTGTATTCAGTTCTTGCAAGAGAAATTCGATTAAGCCAAAAAAAAATTGCATTTGGTACTCCGTTCCGCTTTCTTCATAAAAGCGAAGATTGATTTGAAGTTAACTGAAAGAGAATAATAAGAAAATAAACTTTGCTTGTAGTACAAAAGCCATTGTAATGATCATTTGCAAATTGGCTAAAAAGCTCAAAAATTTATTATGCAAGCACCGCTGTTAAGTGAGTATAAGCAATTATGCTTACAATGCCTACTTACATACTTTTTGTGTGTTTTTGGATATGGTCAAAATATGTACCTAAGTCGTCATTATTGTAGAAACGCACTAAATAAAAAAAAATAAAATTTTTTTCTACATAACCTGGAAACTTCTTCCTGGGTGTCAATAAATTTAATACTTTTTGATTATTGCTGAGGAATATTTAAAAAAATAAATTTTAGCAAAGTTTTAGTTTAGGCAATTTTAATTGATATGCGTACGAAAGCAATGTAGATTACATAGCATATAGTAGATATTCGTGAAATAGGCCAGTCATTGATTTTTTTTTTTGCATAACCAGCTACCGGTAGCAACAATACATACATACATACATATTCTTTTTGTAAGTAAATTTTTTTCACTGCAAACTAAAGTCAATGATCTCCAAAGTACATATACAGTGGCGGGAAAATAAACAAGGACACAACATTTTAACAAGTTTTGGCTATTTTTCCATTATTTTTTTATTTTATTTTTTGTAGGCAAGTATGGCTCTCTGTCTAACACAAACCATGTAAGTCCGAATTTAAGCTTTCTACAAAAACTTTAAAAATTTTAAATTTTTTCTCAAGTTTTTTTTTAACAAAAATTCAAGGTAAGTAGTTTTGTGGCCCATTAAACTCTAGTACAACAAAGTGCAAGTGTGAAATAGTTAGAACTTACCGTTGATTTTTGAATTTTTTATTTTTTTGCTGAATACCGTATTTTCTTTCATTCAAAGTAATGTAATAACTTTCATTTAAAATTTAATTCAATGTTCATGCAGCACAAATCAAATATGTAAATAACAGTCTCAAAGCTTGCACAAATTTTACAAACACTAATTAAATTTCAAAAAATTTTTATCAAAATTTTAAAATTATGTAACAAGAAAGTTTTCTGGTATACAGTTTTTTATCCCATTCAATAATAAAAAAATAAAGTGCAAATAAAGTGCAAGTTTAAAATAGCTAAAAGTTATCGTTAATTTTTGAGAATTTTTTCTTTCATATTAAGTAAGTATCTATTTTTATATTGAAGAAAATACTTAACACCCTCAATAAAAAAATCTCAAAAATCAACGTTAATTTTTAGCCACTTGAAACTTGCACCTTATCAGACTAGAATTGAATAAGCTACAAAACTGGATACCTACTTTTTTTAATTCTGAATAAAAAGTTTGAAATTTTGACGAACATTTTTTGAAGTTTTGAAATTTTGACTTACGTGGTTTTTGTTAGATGGCTCAAATATAAAAGTTTATAAAAAAGTATCTGCCAAAACTTGTTGAAATGCCGCGTTTCTATTTATTTGTCCGCCGCCATACATACATTCAGACGTATTTACTTGTGCAATGCTTTGTTTATAAATAAAAGCTGTAATAAAAAGTTGAATATATTGAAAAAAATAATTAAATAAGAGAACTATGTACCTGAACATACATATGCACATACATACCTATATATGTATATGTATATAAAAGGAGTACAAAAACAAAAACCTTAAAAATAATGAAAAGTTACAAAAAAGAAAATAAGTAATTTGCCGGCAATTTAAATTCTCTAACTGAATCGATGGAATCGGAGGAAGGATGGTTCCGTGCGCAGAAGTGGAAAACTTTTGACTGCCATTCAC